ATATATATATATATATATATATATATATATATATATATATATATATATATATATATGCTGCTAAATTTGATAGGTGCATTGAATAATTTGTTTTTGTAATAATTTGAGTATTTTGATCATTATGTGATGTGCTTTGTAACTGTACATACTGCTGTAATTAACCCCGCCTACTTCTCCTAGTTAGACTAATCAGCCTTAGCCAATCATGTGATGTGCACTCATATAATTATTGACACATGCATATCTTTGCATGTTATTGGGAGGAGGGACGGATCAAATCAGACCAAACATGAATTTTCAAGCTCTACAGGGACCAATCGTAATGCCTTATCACAGAAAATAAACCAGTGGGGTGTTTTTATTCCGATTAAGGGGATCCTAAAGACCATTTTATAGCCCCACCATGCGTTCCTCTTTATATCTAATTCAGGACATATCAGAACTAAACAGAACATTGATTTATTTTAACTGTCGTGATTAGGCTAATGTCCACGAGAATTGTGTGTACATGTTATTCTTATGCTTGATAAATATCTCTAACATGCCAGCGGGCTTATGGACACCTCAGCAAAATAACATATCTGCTCTGGATCAGTGTTGCATTGCATTGAAACTTGTGTTTGGTAAATAAAGCTGTAGTGCAAAGCAAAAGTGTGAGGAAGACTTTATTCTGTTTCGCATCTCCAAAATGACCTGCATTTTTTTTTTGTATAAAAAAGGCAAATTCATGGCATCAGTGTTGCATGCAACCATTTGAAGCATTTAACCTCCTGTTTCACATGCTATTTCTTTGAAAAGTTGGCTATATATGAGCAATCGTGGTGTTTGATTTTTACTGAATCGAAATATATTGTAATATTACTGCTTGTCCAGCAACTTGTGTAGTTAGAGAGCACCGTCAGGGATCATAACCCACATGCTGTCAGCTAAATGCTCTTTTACTACTGTATTAAAAGCACTGACGCTGTAGGAGAAACATTTGGATGGAGTTTTTTCTCCAGGAGCTCAGCTCAGCTAAAGTGCTGCGATGGAGAATTACAGATGTGTGTGTAAGAAAGGTAAATGCTGAGAAGTTTATCAGTACAACAGAATGCCGCTTTGTAAAGTACAGCTCAGGATGA